ACTCAAGGGTGGACCCAGTTACTCAAGGGTGGACCCAGTTACTCAAGGGTGGACCCAGTTACTCAAGGGATGGCCCGGTTACTCAAGGGATGGCGCAGCTACTCATGGGATGGCCCAGTTACTCAAGGGATGGCCCAGTGACTCAAGGGGTGGCCCAGTGACTCAAGGGAAGGCCCAGTTACTCAAGGGATTGCCCAGTTACTCAAGGGATGGCCTATTGACTCAAGGGGTGGTCTAGTTACTCAAGGCTGGGCCCAGTAAAGTCATGGGATGACCTAGTTACTCAAGGGATGACCCAGTTACTCAAGGCATGGTCCAGTTATTCAAGGGAAGGCCCAGTTACTCAACGGATTGCCCAGTTACTCAAGGGATGGCCTAGTGACTCCAGGGATGGTCTGTTAATCAATGGACAACCCAGTTACTCAAGGAATGGCCGAGTTACTCAAGGGATGACCCATTTACTGAAGGGATGGCCCAGTTAATCAACGGATGGCCCAGTTAATCAAGGGATGGCCCAGTTATTCAAGGGAAGGCCCAGTTACTCAAGGGATTGCCCAGTTAATCAAGGGATGGTCCAGTTAGTCAGGGGTTGGCCCAGTTAATCAAGGGATGGCCTAGTGTCTCAAGGGATGGCCCATTAATCAATGGACGACCCAGTTACTCAAGGGATGGCCCAGTTACTCAAGGGATGACCCAATTACTCAAGGGATGGCCCAGTTAATCAAGGGATGGTGCAGTTAGTCAGGGGTTGGCCCAGTTAAAGGGATTAACCTGTTACTAAAGGGGTGACCAAGTAACTCAAGGGATGGCCCAGATACTCAGGGGTGGGCCCAGTAAAATCAAGGGATGACCCAGCTACTCAAGGGATTGCCCAGTTAAAGGGATCGCCCGGTTAATCAAGCGATGGTCCAGGTACTCAAGGGATGGCCCAGTTACTCAAGGGATGACCAAGTTAGTCAAGGGATGACCAAGTTAGTCAAGGGATGGCCCAGTTACTCAAGGGGTGGGCAAAGTGACTCTAGGCATGGTCCAGTTACTCAAGGGATGGCCAAGTTAGTCAAGGGAAGGCCCAGTTACTCATGGGATGGCCCAGTTACTCAAGGGATGGCCCAGTGACTCAAGGGGTGGCCCAGTGACTCAAGGGAAGGCCCAGTTACTCAAGGGATTGCCCAGTTACTCAAGGGATGGCCTATTGACTCAAGGGGTGGTCTAGTTACTCAAGGCTGGGCCCAGTAAAGTCATGGGATGACCTAGTTACTCAAGGGATGACCCAGTTACTCAAGGCATGGTCCAGTTATTCAAGGGAAGGCCCAGTTACTCAACGGATTGCCCAGTTACTCAAGGGATGGCCTAGTGACTCCAGGGATGGTCTGTTAATCAATGGACAACCCAGTTACTCAAGGAATGGCCGAGTTACTCAAGGGATGACCCATTTACTGAAGGGATGGCCCAGTTAATCAACGGATGGCCCAGTTAATCAAGGGATGGCCCAGTTATTCAAGGGAAGGCCCAGTTACTCAAGGGATTGCCCAGTTAATCAAGGGATGGTCCAGTTAGTCAGGGGTTGGCCCAGTTAATCAAGGGATGGCCTAGTGTCTCAAGGGATGGCCCATTAATCAATGGACGACCCAGTTACTCAAGGGATGGCCCAGTTACTCAAGGGATGACCCAATTACTCAAGGGATGGCCCAGTTAATCAAGGGATGGTCCAGTTAGTCAGGGGTTGGCCCAGTTAAAGGGATTAACCTGTTACTAAAGGGGTGACCAAGTAACTCAAGGGATGGCCCAGATACTCAGGGGTGGGCCGAGTAAACTCAAGGGATGACCCAGCTACTCAAGGGATTGCCCAGTTAAAGGGATCGCCTGGTTAATCAAGCGATGGTCCAGGTACTCAAGGGATGGCCCAGTTACTCAAGGGATGACCAAGTTAGTCAAGGGATGACCAAGTTAGTGAAGGGATGGCCCAGTTACTCAAGGGGTGGGCAAAGTGACTCTAGGCATGGTCCAGTTACTCAAGGGATGGCCAAGTTAGTCAAGGGATGGCCCAGTTACTCAAGGGTGGACCCAGTTACTCAAGGGTGGACCCAGTTACTCAAGGGATGGCCCGGTTACTCAAGGGATGGCCCAGTTACTCAAGGGACGACCCAGTTACTCAAGGGATGGCGCAGCTACTCATGGGATGGCCCAGTTAGTCAAGGGATGGCCCAGTTACTCAAGGGATGGCCCGGTTACTCATGGGTGGACCCAGTTACTCAAGGGATGGCCCAGTTACTCAAGGGATGGCCCAGTTACTCAAGGGTGGACCCAGTTACTCAAGGGTGGACCCAGTTACTCAAGGGTGGACCCAGTTACTCAAGGGATGGCCCAGTTACTCAAGGGATGGCGCAGCTACTCATGGGATGGCCCAGTTACTCAAGGGATGGCCCAGTGACTCAAGGGGTGGCCCAGTGACTCAAGGGAAGGCCCAGTTACTCAAGGGATTGCCCAGTTACTCAAGGGATGGCCTATTGACTCAAGGGGTGGTCTAGTTACTCAAGGCTGGGCCCAGTAAAGTCATGGGATGACCTAGTTACTCAAGGGATGACCCAGTTACTCAAGGCATGGTCCAGTTATTCAAGGGAAGGCCCAGTTAATCAATGGACAACCCAGTTACTCAAGGAATGGCCGAGTTACTCAAGGGATGACCCATTTACTGAAGGGATGGCCCAGTTAATCAACGGATGGCCCAGTTAATCAAGGGATGGCCCAGTTATTCAAGGGAAGGCCCAGTTACTCAAGGGATTGCCCAGTTAATCAAGGGATGGCCCAGTTAATCAAGGGATTGCCCAGTTACTCAAGGGATTGCCCAGTTACTCAAGGGATGGCCTAGTGTCTCAAGGGATGGCCCATTAATCAATGGACGACCCAGTTACTCAAGGGATGGCCCAGTTACTCAAGGGATGACCCAATTACTCAAGGGATGGCCCAGTTAATCAAGGGATGGCCCAGTTACTCAAGGGTTGGCCCAGTTAAAGGATGGCCCAGTTACTCAAGGAATGACCAAGTAACTCAAGGGATGGTCCAGATACTCAGGGGTGAGCCCAGTAAAATCAAGGGATGCCCCAGCTACTCAAGGGATGGCCCAGTTACTTAAGGGATGGCCCGATTAATCGAGGGACGGTCCAGTTATTCAAGGGTGGGCCCAGTGACTCTAGGCATGGTCAGGGGATGGCCAAGTTAGTCAAGGGATGGCCCAGTTACTCAAGGGACGACCCAGTTACTCAAGGGATGGCCCAGTTACTCAAGGGAAGGCCCAGTTACTCAAGGGATTGCCCAGTTACTCAAGGAGTGGCCCAGTTACTCAAGGGATTGCCCAGTTACTCAAGGGATTGCCCAGTTACTCAAGGGATGGCCTAGTGTCTCAAGGGATGGCCCATTAATCAATGGACGACCCAGTTACTCAAGGGATGGCCCAGTTACTCAAGGGATGACCCAATTACTCAAGGGATGGCCCAGTTAATCAAGGGATGGCCCAGTTACTCAAGGGATGGCCCAGTTAAAGGATGGCCGAGTTATTCATGGAATGACCAAGTAACTCAAGGGAAGGCCCAGTTACTCAAGGGAAGGCCCAGTTACTCAAGGGATTGCCCAGTTACTCAAGGGATTGCCCAGTTACTCAAGGGATGGCCCAGTGACTCAAGGGATGACCTGTTAATCAAGGGATTGCCCAGTTACTCAAGGGATTGCCCAGTGACTCAAGGGATGACCAGTTAATCAAGGGATTGCCCAGTTACTCAAGGGATTGCCCAGTTACTCAAGGGATGGCCCAGTGACTCAAGGGATGACCTGTTACTCAAGGGATTGCCCAGTTACTCAACGGATTGCCCAGTTACTCAAGGGATGGCCCAGTGACTCAAGGGATGACCAGTTAATCAAGGGATTGCCCAGTTACTCAAGGGATTGCCCAGTTACTCAAGGGAAGGCCCAGTTACTCAAGGGATTGCCCAGTTACTCAAGGGATTGCCCAGTTACTCAAGGGAAGGCCCAGTTACTCAAGGGATTGCCCAGTTACTCAAGGGATTGCCCAGTTACTCAAGGGATGGCCCAGTTACTCTAGGGATGGCCCAGTTACCCAAGGGATGGCCCAGTTGCTGAAGGTTTGGTCCAGTTACTCAAGGGACGACCCAGTTACTCAAGGGATGACCCAGTTACTCAATGGGCGACCCAGTTACTCTAGGGATGACCCAGTTACTCATGGGATGGCCCAGTTGCTGAAGGTTTGGCCCAGTTACTCAAGGGACGACCCAGTTACTCAAGGGATGACCCAGCTACTCATGGGATGGCCCAGTTACTCTAGGGATGGCCCAGTTTCTCAAGGGACGACCCAGTTACTCATGGGATGACCCACTTACTCTAGGGATGGCCCAGTTATTCAAGGGATGGCCCAGTTATTCTAGGGATGGCCCAGATACTAAATGGATGACCCAGTTACTGAAGGTTTGGCCCAGTTACTCAAGGGATGGCCCAGTTACTCAAGGGATGGTCCAGTTACTCAAGGGATGGCGAAGTTACTGAAGGTTTGGCCCAGTTACTCAAGGGATGGTCCAGTTACTCAAGGGATGACCCAGTTACTCAATGGACGACTCAGTTACTGAAGGGATGGCCCAGTTACTCAAGGGATGGCCCAGTTACTCAAGGGATGGCCCAGATACTCAATGGATGACCCAGTTACTCAAGGGATAGCCCAGTTACTCAAGGGATGATCCAGTTAATCCAAGGATGGCCCAGTTACTGAAGGTTTGGCCCAGTTACTCAAGGGATGGTCCAGTTACTCAAGGGATGGCCCAGTTACTCAAGGGATGGCCCAGTAACTCAAGGGTTGACCCAGTTACTCAAGGGATGACCTAGTTACTCAAGGGATGGCCCAGTTACTCAATGGATGACCCAGTTACTCAAGGGATAAACCGTCTTTAATATTATGTTAACCATGTCAACCATGTTAACAGAAAAAGCGAACTTACAAACAGTGTTGTCTCCGTTCCCAGCTGTCTCCTCTGTGATGAAATACATTGATGACATGTTGTTTGACTTCATATTGCATAATTTGTCAATTCTTTTCTGAAAACAAATCAAATATCAGTACTGGGTATCAGAAATCTGAACTATCAAGAAAAGTTCCTTACACCTGGATCATTAAAAGATCTCAAAATATATTTCACTAAACATACTTAGCTGTCACAATGCTGAATGGTCAATTTGTATTACTTCACACATACTATTACAGCAATAGTATTTTCCTTAAAGTGATACACGAACATGATGTCTAAATAGTCATTATCAGGGGAACTTCCACATTAAATAATCACGGGTGGCCCAGTCACCTAGATTCACTGTGCAGAGTTGCTTCCCATGGGCACAGCAGAAACCAACGAATGTGGGTTCGAATCCCGGTTCGCCCGGATTATGTTTCTAGGTTTGTCAGCATCATACCCGTGCTTGTGGGTTTCAGCGGAGTGAGACCTGCATCACTTCGGGCTTTCCTCCCACACTATACTGACACTTCTTCTAGCTTGGCCTTGTGTTCACTGTGCAACTCCGACTGTCATTTGTTTCATTTTGTTTTATTAGCGCCTCGCCCAATATTATTCTGCTCACTTAATATGACACCAGGTACAGCAACTAAAGACACCACCACAAATTTATTATGCCGAAATGCTTTCACTATTTGGTGTTTTTATTGCACATATCATGTCAAAATAAAAACTTCACACCAACAACCCTTAACCCTCATGGTTTCTGGATCAAAGGGAGACTACTCTTCAAACCTTAGCAGGAAAACCTTGTTGAAATGTTTAACTATAGTCTTTATCAATAAAGTGATGAACGTGATTTTTGTTTAAAATGTCTGTCCTTGCACATCACAAATAATTATATAAAAAAAACAGTGTTAAATAACCAATGTACCAGAATTTGTATGTGAAATATATGAGGTGGATGTGTGAAAATCCAAGATGGCTGTTACTGGCATTCAGTCTCACATTTGGTCAGTATCAACCATCTTAGATTTTTAATGACGGTATACGGGCTCGTGTGGTGTTAGTTGTTCTGCTCTCATGGGTCAATCTCACTTTGAGGCATAATAAAACAAGATATAAGTCAATCTAACAACACTATCAAGTGGTGTACACAGGAATCATAGGCTAAATGTTCAGGCGTCAAAGATAAGGCATTTCATGTCAAACAAAACGTGATTTAATTCCCATTTTACACCAGGTTCTGTATTGCTTATGTAGAAATTACACCTGGAACACAGGATGAAACAATCTGTACATTTATTTGACTGCAGTCTGAAGTGCAATCCACAGATCCAACTGACAGTTTTCTGCAAATGTACGCTTTGTATGACTGTAGAATTTTGGATTCGGCAAGGAAGTAAGTTGCCACTGTGCCAGCTTTAAACAAAATAGACAACAGGCCTCAAAGAGAAGCCGGGTCAACGGCTTGCACAAAATTAATAAATGCCCTGCACAAAATGATCTTAGCGCTAAGACTATTTTAAGCCTGTGTTCAAGTATGGGAGTTAAGATAATCTTTGCGCTAAGATCGCTTTGTGCAAGTGGGCCCTGGTGTCTATTAGAGAAAATACATATTGCATACTAAACCCCATTCTATTTTCAGTTGAACTGTGAGAATAATTTAAATATAAAAAATTTAATACCGATACTAACTTTAAAACCAGACCTGAAAGTAAATGAAAACTGTCACCATACCCTAAACAAAAGTTCCTCCTTGGTTTTGGCACTGAACATGAGGTTGACCTTGTTTGGGCACATGCTGCGTGTCGTCGCCGTCTGCTGCAGATCATGAACGTGGCTCAGCATACTCATGAGGGGGTTGATCCCGACCCCACCCGCCACCAGCAGCAGGTTTGTGGGAGGCTCCTCGCCTGGCTGAGGGTCATAGAAGTAGTCGCCACCCACACGCAGGTCCACTTGAGCCCCAACCTTGCACTGGTAAACATGAGCCAAGCATACCGGTAGATGCATAAATAAATCTTGGTATGTCAGACCGAAAACAGAATTAGTTAAATGGAAGTTTATTACACTGATACTGATTGGTAATTGCTAAATACAGACTCTGTACATAAATGATTAAATTGGATCATGTTGATCAGAATAAGGCCATTGGCAGCCATATTTGATTTACGATCGAGATGCCTTGAATCGAACTGAGTACAATATAAGGTGATCGTCTCACAAAGTTTCAAGTCTCATGCCCTTTAAGTTTTTGCGAAGAAGATCTTTTTAATCTTATGTTTCCAAGTCAAAAATGGCTATCTGGCGGCCATATTGAAATTCCAGTTTTGATCCCTTGAAGACACTTAATCCCCTTGAAGTAACACACATCCACACAAATTTCAGATGAATCCATTGAGTCATTTCAGAAAAGACAAAATATAAAAAGTTTATGGCTGCCGCCAATGTCTGTTGATCACTGATAAAATTTCTGATCACTTTGATCAAAGATTAATCAGCAACTGACTTTTGTACAACCCAGTTAGCCCCACTGAGATAATGATAGAGTTATTCTGAAGACTGTTAGAATTTCAGGCTGAGTTTTGGTGTTCTTATGTATTATTGCTGTCCAGGCCAGTAAGATTTCAGGTTAACTTCTACTGCTATGTATTAGTTTTTTAATTCATATATCGACAAATTATGTCACTAGTTCCAAATCTAGAAAAACATCCTTTTTGCCTAGTCGGCATGGTAAACGTGTTGTTCTATTAAGGCCAAAAACGAAAATACTTGTTTCAGGTAACCTGACCAACCCACTGTTTCACTTGTGACCCAAATGTCAGATTAAATGTTCTGTATATTATCTTTGCTGATGCTGGACCAACAAATAGGACATACACTGCCACTGACATCAGAATAAACATGAATGTACATGTCAAACATTATTAAATACCCTTACATAAATAATCTGTTGGGGCCATGCTACCTGAAACAGATTCTTTTGTTCTTGGCCCAACATAAAAACTAACAGGATCTGATGCCAATGCACAAGTTTGGGCAAGTGTACTCTAACTGTTTTGACGACAGGCTGCTCAGATATCCGAAGGTCGGTGGTTCGGTCCCCGGACAAGTGTTTCCAAAATATGTAAAAATATGGTACTTGTGGTTACCCTAGGCACTCTGCATTAAGGGAATAAAACAGGGACCGGTCAGCTCGGTGTAATCAGGCTGTGTCTGGGTGGGGTACGACAAGCATAGGTTGCTGTGGATCTGTTCTAACTCGGGTCCCCACGAGGTAATAACGATACTTAGTAACGATGACCGTCTCCGTGGACTAGTGATAGAGCGTCCACCCCGAGAGCGGAAGGTCGGGGGTTTGATCCCCGGCTGCGTCATATCAAAGGAAGATAAAATATGGTACTTGTTGTTACCTTGCCTGGCGGTCGGCCATACAGAGGTAAAACAGGTCGGCTCGGAGTCAATATACTGTGTCTGAGTGGGGTACCCATGTTAAACTGTGGCATGGTATCTCTCACTATAGAACCAGCATTAGTCCTGAATGTACAAGAAGCCCCCCTCCCCACCACACACAAGTCGCTATTTGAGTGCAATATTCTTGAAAGATTTCTAGATTTACATAAGTAGAATTCTTGTCCAGATTTATTTAGAGATTGCTGTCATATAGCTGGAATACTACTGCGTGATGTGGCTATCCGTCCAGAACACAACACAATATCATGGTATAAACAGTGTTAGCGACCCGTTGACGACCACATGGAGAAGTCCCCTACTGTATCTACACCAGGGATGTGGCTATCCACCAAGAACACAACACAATATCATGGTATAAACAGTGTTAGCGACCCGTTGACGACCACATGAAGAAGTCCCCTTCTGTATCTACACCAGGGATGTGGCTATCCACCCTGAACATAACACCATATCATGGTAAAAACAGTGTTAGCGACCCGGTGACGACCACATGGAGAAGCCCCCTACTTGCAAACAGCCAAGTCAACAGGCAAACAGCTAGTCAACAATCAAACAGCTAAGTCAACAGTCAAACAACTAAGTCAACAATCAAACAGGTAAGTCAAATGTCAAACACCTAAGGCAACAGTCAAACAGCTAAGGCAACAATCAAACAGCTAAGTCAACAATCAAACAGCTAAGTCAACAATCAAACAGCTAAGGCAACAATAAAAAAGCTAAGGCAATTATCAAACAGCTAAGTCAACAGTCAAACAACTACGTCAACAATCAAACAGCTAAGTCAACAGTCAAACAACTAAGCAACAATCAAACAGCTAAGTCAACAGTCAAACAACTAAGCAACAATCTAACAGCTAAGCCAACAAACAGCTAAGGCAACAATTAAACAGCTAAGTCAAAAGGCAAACAGCTAAGTCAACAGTCAAACAGCTAAGGCAACAATCAAACAGCTAAGTCAACAATCAAACAGCTAAGTCAACAGTCAAACAACTAAGCAACAATCTAACAGCTAAGCTAACAAACAGCTAAGGCAACAATCAAACAGCTAAGTCAAAAGGCAAACAGCTAAGTCAACCTTCAAACAGCTAAGGCAACAATCAAACAGCTAAGTCAACAATCAAACAGCTAAGTCAACAGTCAAACAGCAAAGGCAACAATCAAACAGCTAGTCAGGGTGAATAGCCACATCCCTCGTGCCATCTCAAAATGTATATGTTCAGTATTTCGCACATGACAGTGTTCAGTTACCGGTCATGACAATCAAAGACGCGACTGTGGTTTCATTCGGCTTTGATCACTGAGTTACATATCGGATTTGCTCCTCAAGAACTAAGATACCAAACAATATAAATTACATAGACATTTTGTTCTTTATTCTCGTTAACTTAACTAAAATAACATTATAAACGCACATTTTACGTTTCAAACATGATAGGGGGTTTATAAGTGAGTAAAATAATAATTTCTTTAAATGTTCAATTTCATTAACAGAGCATTTAAAAGTGTTAAAAACTTACTAAGAAGAAATGGGCCTTTACGGTTACATGTTCATAATAATTTTTTTCATTCTATAAATATTTGGCCAGTTGAGAAACTTTTTATTGATATAAGTTGATCTTAAGTGTGAAATGCCTTCACAGCGAAACAAGTAATGGAATTCGTCAGCAATAGCTGGCGAGTAACAGAGTTTACATAATCTATTCTCCCTTGGAATGTTATCCAATCTTCCAGTCTCTATGGGGAGATTGTAATTGGAGGTTCTAAATTTTAAGATAGGGTAGAAATTAGAGACTGTGGCGACCAGGTATTTTTCAAAACATGATATGTGGTTAAAGTACTTGTAGTAATGTTCTTTTGAGCTTGCTGCGACTAAATTGCATCAAGTTAAGAAAAAAATTATCTTTGAGTGTGTTTTCTAGTATCGTTATTACATAGTGTCTGTTAGCAGTTAGGGAGACCACAGGAAAAAAGAATGTCTTTAACAAAACCAAGCCAGGAGTGTTTTCCAGAGTTTATTCTTCCCCGCCCTTAAGGCGGGGAAGTATACGGGAGAGGTTAATTTTAGAGCATGTAAGTCGACATGATGGTTTCTTTGAAATTTCAAGCCACACAGTTACCGAAACGAAACATACAAATCATGTGAAATGTGCGTGAAATGTTGATGTTTATCTTTTCTAGCAATAAGAGATACTTCAAAATCGTCTTGCTATTCCGAGACTTAGTCAGTTTTCGTAATGCTGATAACCCATGAAATTTGATCATTTTGTTTTTAAAAGAGCTAAAAATGATCCCATTTCGCTAAAGTTAACCGGTCTATATTTAGTAAGAATAAACTTTTGCGCATTGAGCGATTATCTCCTTTAGCTATAGGCGTAGTATAGAAGTGATAAATTCACGCACTGACCTTGCATTGCTGTACATCGTATCTTATTCAAGCTGTATCACTGAGAGTGAGTGATTATCTCCCTTACCCGAACAGCTCAATTGCGCACTACCTTTGCAATGTATCGTATGTTATTCAGGCAGCCATCGAGAAACGTTCCAGGAAGGAATTTAGGCCAAGCCTGTCACGCGCACTCAATTTTCACACTGCTATTGCAACATATTGTTCAACACGATTAAATAACAGGCTTCTATAAAGTATAACTTTGTTCAATAAACAACACATGTAAAACAACGGGTTTGATATGAGAATTTGTTTATTGGTTGTCTTCATAATCACATGTATGGCACTTGCTGTGCATAGTTGAGCACAGCATTGTTTTAAAAACTTCACTGTATTTAATGTATGGTACATAACGTTTCATGCGGCGGTTTGCGTTTCTGCATGGTTTATTGCTTTGACAAAAAAACAACAACTTCCAGCAGAGATCATACACCCGTATATGGTCTTTACTTCTGGATACATAGGAAATCAACAGGTTGGTGTGTTGTTTGCAATTATTTTCCAAAAAGATAATACGGTTGCATGATATCTTCACGATGTTTGGGTTGAACATAGTAGCATTCTTCTAAACAAATTTCCAATCTAAGCCGGAAGCAATCACAACACAAACCCAGTTAACCAAACGGAACCATACACAAGAGTGAGTGAGGTAGTTGGGTTTAACGCCGTCTTGAATAGTATTCCGTGTCAGCTTGAAGTGGGAGGAAAGTCTGAAGTGATGCAGGTCTTAGACGTTCAACACTTTGGTGAAACCAACGAGCAAGGGTTTTGTGCTGACAACACAATCGGGGCGAATCGAGATTCAAACACACTGTCATAGGTTTCTGGCGTGCCCAAGGGACACAAGTCTGCATAGCGAATTGCAGCGCCTTCGGCGACTGGGCCAACCATGCCCCAGTAAACAACTGTAAGAAACTATTATACAACAAAGATGTTTTAGATGAGCTATGTATTGCGGAACATTCCATGAAGAAACAGTGGCAATATTACACAATCACAAACTACAAAATACATGCACAATAAACGACAATTAAAAAACACAGGAACATTCAAAGTTCAAAAGAGGTACATTATAACAATTTAATTTCTAAAACAAGTGTATTATAATTATATGGAAACAATATGAGAATTGAGCAGAACTATGGTAATGTTGTACATACATGTACAAGGAATTTGTTTG